GCTAATGTTTCTTAACAGATTATTCTCTTTCCTGTTTAAGTAACTTCCTTGTAAGGGGTCCTCCTGCTTTTGCCTCAGGAAAAAGTGTAGACCCAGTACTTTTTGATACAACAGATAAAACTTCTTGAACCTGCTCCATGCTCCGTACAGAATAAATGCAATAAACCCATGAAGTTCAGCATTACGTGATAATTAAGTTTTGTAGAGCTAATATCCAGATGTGCTTTATAACAAAATGACATTTTACAAAAAGTAAAAGCACTAGTGATTTTTCATTTCTTGAACCAATATCTTACTGCAATATATTTGTACTTTGTTGCAAATATTGCTATAAATACTTTTTATGTATTTAATGTCCTTAAAAGACTACATCTGCATGTCTTAACTTTAATATTTTGCTTAATATGGTAAAGGATTATTTAATAAGCAAAGTATATTGGACTCCCTGTACAGAGCAAACAAAAGTGAAGTAAATGAAAATTCAAGGAAATAGTCCGAAGGAATAATGGACCACACAAACCCCACCCTTCACTGTCATTGAGACCAGATCTAGATGGTACCTGGCTTTTACTATTGACTTCTCTGAAAGGGATCACCATGGGTATTTCTTGGTAGATTAGGAGAGAAATGTGGACCAAAGCTCAAGATCACTTTTTCAAAAAGAATAGAGACCAAACTTACTTGTCTGATAGAGACTGGTAAAGCCCCCTAGACTATGGCCCTGGAATTGAACTCACTCCATTGCTCAGCTTTAAAAGACCAATAAGTTGAACAGTAACACCAAGGATTATTCACTCCCCAGAACCATCAGTGATTTGTAACCCAAAGGGCAGCATTTGTCCAGGGATAAAGCTCAGTGGACAGGAAGGGATAGGAAAAGTAGACAAATGGAAGCAGTTAAACACACGGTGGGGACTGTATTTACTGTCACAAAACATGATATGCAGGAGTTGTTAGGTGGAAAGCCAGTCTGCTCTGGAAATTTTCACCCCAATTACAATTTTACAGAATGAATTTGACATTTATTAAAAAAAATTTCTTTTATGCTTAAGCTGGCCATGGTATTAGTTTTCCATACAAGTTAGCAAAATTTACCTTTGATTTTAAAACTTGGTGTCTTTCATTATTCTATAGTGATGAACAGTTTTTCTCAGCAATGTTTCTTCAGTGACACGCCTTCCTACAATCATTTCT